TCATGCCCTAGCCTATCTACCATGAAAATATGAGCGAAATCGAATTTTCGACCCTTGCCGAGTTATTTTCCATTTTTATGGACAGGGACTCTTAATCCTAATGTAAACGGTTGGTTGATCTTGCAACGAAATAAGCTAAAAGTTACCTCGGCCAGAGTAACTCAGGCGGAGGGTTGTCTCGGGTACCCGAGACCATATAAATGGGGCCTGAGTTGTGGAGTCCGATTACGACATTGTTGTTTGTATATACCTTATCACAATCATAACGCCCGCCCTTGGGTTACATCGTGTGATTTACATGCAATTTTGTCTCTTGCAACCGGAAATGACATTTCAAACCTTGCAGAGCCATATTGCTCTAGGCTAAGAGTTTGATGTCAACGAAGTTGTGGTCCACGTTAAAAGAAGCAAACGCTGTAAATATTCAGAGCGGAAAAACCTACTGCGCAGCTTTCTGCGAATTCCTAGCGTAACTTGCGAGCTCAGGTAATAATGGAAGCTGGAAAAGTTCGCAATTTGCCATGGCTGGAAAGAGCGGTGGACTGTAATAAGCTACGCGAAGGTGTCGTTCGGTTCATGTATTTATACTTGGACAAGCAAAAATTTTTTTTGGCATTTCACTGTTAAGAAAACAAGGCTCCCCCTGCCTGCTGAGAGGCTCTCTTGCATATATATTCAGTGGGTTGCTTAAATGGATGCAATATGTAAAGAGTGTTTGTGGAAAAATGTGTCTTTGCACCGAAATTTCTTGTATACCGTGGGAAAATAAAGGGTTCGGAAGCCATCTTTAGGTTGATTTTGTCCGAAAAAAAGTGGATTCCCCACAAAAAAAAAAGTACACCAGCTTTCCATTAGTGACGTTAAAATGTTGCTGCTTATGGGATAGCATATAAAGTTCGTTGTTTTTTTTTGTTTAAGGACCGGTGCACAGCCAAAACTCGCACATGCTTATTACGTTTTTCCGCTCTCACCTGAACTAATAATATGGATATGATCCGACCGCTGGTCAACGGGATGCGGGCTTAGGGTACAATCTTAATAGGGCAGCAGCCGAAGCTTAATTATTTCACAAGTTGGCTTTTATCATGATCTAGATCAATTGATTCCTAAATTGGAAAATGCAGCTTCTGTAAAATGTATTTTTTAAATCCATTTCAATCCAACCTTGCCTAAATTAAAAGGCTTTTGGCCGGATAAGTAATAGTACCTTTTTAGAAATGTTTCTACCTTAACAAGCTATTTTTTTCTTTTTTTGAGATTTCTAGGCCCTTACATAGTATTTGGAAATGCCTTCTAACAAGGTTGCGTCAATATTTACGGACTGTCAAGTTCTTCCTTGCATGTGATAGCGAATTGATTAAATAAAAATTGATAAATGTTGTTAAAACTGGAGCTTTCAGCGATGTGCTGATTGCCAAATTTGATGCTGTTGGTTTTAGACGCAAAAGGAAAGCACGAAAATGATATATTCCGATTTGAGAAACTACGCGGCAAAATTGAAAGTGAAGGGAATTTCTGCTTGCTAAATATCTTGTCAATAATCGAAAATTAGTTTGATGGAAATGAGTTTTATTCGAAAAAAATTAATGTTAAATTTCCTTTGTATTTGTTAAGATCGAAAACTTACAGAGAAATGATCTTTCATAGCTCTTTCTTTCATATTTTACGCCTCAACAGCAATTCAGAACTGCTTGACCACGTCCTCTGCCTCCATTTTGGTTTTGCTTCCTCTCTTGATGATTTCATTTCCTTTGCAGAGTAGCCTATTTCCGCAAAAATCTTTTACAAAATAAATACACCTGCCCACAGTTGTCACACGATTGGGTGCAAAAATAAAAAATCGAGACTGAAAGAGCTTGTGAGAGGTATACGGTTTTATTTTCCACCCTATACAGAAGATATAACCGTTCATGTTCAGAAGAGACTCGATTTTATACTTATTATGTTTCAAGCAAGTTTGCTCTTTTTATTGTAAGCGAGAGCGCGCCAATTTTATCGGAGGTAGCTTGTCGTTGTTGTAAATTTGCCAACTCTTGAAGCGGGATTTACAGTTACCACGTCTTCAAAGCTGAGAAAATAAGGGGTGAGTTAAAAGCGCTAGTTATAGAATTACGTAGATAACGTTTAGTAGGGGTCTTCTACCGTTGGCAAGTATCGTCTTTTTTGTGGTCTATTTTCAGCCAATAACTTATCTGAAATGTGTCGTTACTAGAAAAACTCGATCGGCGCATTCTAAAATATTTGAGCAGCACTGATTGACCAAAGGGTTGATATTTGCCCACCTCTTGTCAAGTTGATTTTGAGATATTGCCTGCCTCTTTTGTCTAATAATCTGATTCGTTAATAAGCAGCATCGTCATTGCGTGCAGAATTTACAAACTTTGGAAATTGCAGGCATTTATAATAACACCACGAAAGAACCATGTGTGTGATGTGCATGTGTGAAAAACTTTTCGAATTTGATGCATACAACAAGCTTCTACTAAATCACAGCGAGCGCACTTTTGAGGATTTGAAATTTACAAACAATCGAGCAGCTTCTTTTATTTTCTAAAAAAGAACAAAATTTGAGTCAGTGGTCTTTCTCTGAATAGCAAACTCGTTCCTGACAGGCTAATAGCAACAACTTTCTCCTCTATAGATGTTAAAACGTTTGTTATAGAAATCCGATAGGCGAGGTGATTGCAGATGCAAAGTCGTAGCTACGTAGCCCTGAAACTGCACTCACATCGCTCAGCGGACTCTCCGGTGCCCCCGAAAAATGAAACTTTTGCGGACGAGAGAGTGGTAACAACACGGGCTTAAAAAATTCGTCAAAAAGGCCGAAAATGTGTGGTTGTTTGATGCACCTCATTTCTTACATTTTTAAAACGACGGGTTAAAATCAGCGGTTGATGCATTAAGCATAGAAAACCGACAAACTAAACCTCGTTTATTAACGTTTTTTGACCATTATTAAGGCATTGAACCGCGAAATTAAAGCAAGAGTCGAATTTCTAAATCGTGAAATTCCGAGACAATCATCATTGCAACGAATTCTGCGTTATTCGAAAATAGATAAAAATATATTCCGAAGAGACTTGGCTTCTAAAAGTGCATATAACAATGACGAGAATGATCTCGGGGTTGTGTTGCTATGGTGATTCTGTTTTCCTGAACCTTATATGGTTTTGGGCTGATTGAAGTCACCCAGCCGTTGAAATCAATTTTGTTCACAAGGTGTTTTCAATTTCCCTTTAGAAAGTCAGTGACAAAAAATAAAGCAATATTAAAAGGAGCTAATTTTGACATTTTGTTTATTAAAATCCCATTTTTGATTCGTTTCACAAATTAAATTATGTTGGAATGAGCACTGGAAAACGAATGTCGTTTAACATCGATTCTCGTCAGAAATAAAGATCTAGTTTTTTCAGTTTGTCCAACCCACAATTAACACTTACAATGCATTTATAATTACCCTTTCTTCTAAGAAAAAGGCCGGAAAGCGACTGATAGAATAGCTTGAGCTTTTTGTAATTAAGACAATAAAAAATTCAAGTTTGGCAGCAATTTATTACAATCAGTACGTTGACTGATAATATTGTTAAATAAACATCTGCCGTCTTCATTATCGTGAAAAAAAAAATCGCCCTTTAACATCCCATGTGAGCTTACTTTGACCAATATACATAAGCCATTGCTACTGAAAGGTAGGTTACTTTATTTACAGACCTAGAAATTCGACAAGCTCTTCAAAAAATGGCATTTGCACGCAGAAAAATCTTACAAAGTGTCAGTAAATCAGTTGAGAATTCTAGCTGTTGCGTTGGTAAACGATCTTATATATATGTAAATGTCTAGGAACACCGGAGACTGATTTTGACCAGATTTCCAGAACGCTTAACTTCTCTGTGACTGCAACCTTATTCAGGAAATTTTGGTATGAAATGGGTCTCCCTCTAGCTTGTAGCGGGCTTCTTGACTAAGTTTGCTTACTTACATATTGTAGTTAATTTTTGATCTCCGTTCATTTTTGATTTCAACTATAGTGGTTCACTCTCTTCGGGTTAGTTACGGATTTTTCTAAATAGCATATATTGAGTAGGGATTAATTAGAAGTTAACCAACCCGTAGGAAACGAACTACATAGAGTAGAAATAAAGCCTGAATTGAGATCAAAAGTTACTTCAACATACACGTTTATGCGTCATTTTTACTAGCTGGAGACAATTTCGAGTTTTCTATGATTTCTTAAACTGTTTCAGTATACTAACCGTTTTTAAACGTAGAAGAAGGTCAACTAACTTAAAAATTTTTTTATCTGCGTCTTTTACGTGCTCAGTATATGTTTATGAGGGTTAATTATAGCAGTTTACTGACTGTTTTCAGTGCACGATGTCTGTGAACTTCTCGCCGGCTTTCTGGTTCTCTTGCGTGACTTTTGTTCTGTCAATCACGATGAAGGATAACATTGTAACACCACTTCTCTATGTCCACAACATGTTCACCAAGAATATCGCCATAGAGAAACACACAATTCACTCTGTAAATGACTCCGACCCTTGGGTGTGTTTCCGTCACTGCGCGAAAGATTGTGATTGCGTGACATTTCAAGTAACACAAAATACGTGTGAACTGTTGGATACGAACCAGCATGGCGCGGCCGAAGACCTGGTTAATAGACAAGGAACTCTTATATTCAGCATGCAACAGTCAGTTCTTAAGGTGAGTTGACATACCTCCATGACCATGTCTCACATAAACGTCGATTTACTTATGTCATTTGTCCTGTCTCGGGGGGATGGAAAGAGGAAAATTCCCTTCAAGAGGTTCAGTTAAGTACGTGTTACCCCAAACCTTATGATTTTAGTGTTTTGCTATTTAGGTATCATGCTGGTCTAAAATATGTTAGGTAAAAAAGAAAATACTATGGATTCGATAAAATGTGAATAAATACCTGTAAAATAAGCAATAGCTGGTTTTCATATGACGTCACCAAAATTCGAACTACAAAACTATTGATCTTCCTGAGATTTTACTTTGATGATGTATAAGAGCAGCTGAAAACTAATATTCATACAAATTTTCGCTCCGAATGGGCTCTT